TTGATTTTGAATTATCAATTAAATAAAAAATAAATTATAATATTATTATAACTTTTGTTGAAAAAAATGAACAAACTAAGCAAAATAACATCGTAAATTGACCCCCTGACTGACTTGTTAATAACATGATAAATAGACCCATTAACCCATATTGTTGAATCACTGACTTATTGACCTACAAGAATAATGGTTCAACGTCTTGAATGGTTTTAGAACACTGATTGCATTGCCCGTTTTACACATCTCGTTTCTAGCAGATGTGGAGTCACTTAAAAGCCATGAATGCCGGATCTTTTTTTGCATGGTTTTCAAAACAGATTGAATTGGACGGTCAGATCGGAAAAATCGAGAACCAATCATCTGATTGATTCTGTTTTATCTCAGAGTCGTCATTTTGTCAAAAATCATTGATTTGATCACTAAATCATTGACTTGAGCAGTCGAATTGTTCAAACCATCCAACAGTTTTAACTGTTTTTAATTTCTCATTTTTTGTCAAAATGGGCTATTCATCGTCAGACCGTTTAACCCAAAAAACCGGACCCTGAACGATTTGTTGTTCGATTCAATTTTAAAAACGTTGTTTTTTTATTGCAAATTTGCAACCTACCTCACAACATGCACACATGATTCATGGGACATGGAAACTCATAAAAAGACAACATTCATTTAATGCACCATAACCCACGCACATGCACCCTTCTATTCAATGCACACACGCAAGAGAATTATTATCCGATGCCGATGTTTTGGATAACTACTCTGTTGCCATATTGGCCTCCATGTTATATGCTTAGAACGGACCATTATTGTTGGGCCCATTTGCATCATGTTGCACCCCTTTTCTTTTATGGAAAAACAAAGTCCTTAGGTTAATTTCAGTCGATTAATCGGATTGGATTTAGATAGAATTTGCCTTTGATCCGTTTATCAAACCTTTAAATTTGAATCCGATTCAAAGTCTTATATGTTGGGTTTAAATCGGACCTATACTTAAGTTACATTTATCGCATTGTGCTTAAAATGATAAAAAATTAAAAAGTATATAAATATATGTATAATATATACCCATCTACCCATCTGATTATTACCACTTTTTTAAGGATAAATCTATAATGTTGAAAAGTCTTTCACCGATTAAACTCTCTTAGTGAATTTTGATGAAAATCCATCTATCCATCTGATTATTACCACTTTATTAGGGAAAATTCCTGATTAGTACCTTGTACTTTGGGCCTAGTGCCACTTTAGTCCCTTAACTTTAAAATGCAAAAATTTAGTACCCAAACTTTTTAAACGTGATAGTCTAGTACCTGCTGTTAATTAGTTGTTAACCAGCCGTTAAGTGACATTTGAAAAAAGACACAAATACTCTTCGAGTGTTATTTAATTTTCTTTATCAACTATCTAAACGTTGATAAAAAATTAACAGTCCCAAATCTTTGCCTTTTCCATCAAAAAAAGTTGGGGTCATGTTTGAATGGGCATTTTGGTGACCCCAACTTTCTTGAGTAGAAGAGGCAAGGATTTGAGACTGATAATTTTTGTCAAATGGTTGATAAAGAAAATTAGATGACACTCGAAGGATATTTATGTCTTTTTCAAGTGCTACTTAACGACAGGTTAACAACTATTTAACGGCCGGTACTAGATTGTCATGTTTTGAAAGTTCAGGTATTGGATTATCGCATTTTAAAGTTCAGGGACCAAAGTGGAACTAGGCCCAAAGTATAGGGTACTAATCGGGGATTTTTTCTTTTTTTATACAAGAATGGTTTCCACTTTTATGATGCCTATTGAGAAAATCCCTCTGAGTTCTATGTCTAATAGTCTACAATTGAGAAATCAGATTCAGTGTTCACATCATTTGCAGTCTCTTGTAGCCTTGTATTGGGAATATCTCCCCATGAAAAAAAGCATACAAATACAGAGATATTCCCAATGTATGGCTATAAAAAGCTGTGCGGATGATGTGAACAGGGTGTTGTGAGCATTGAAAGCCGATTTTTACAATTGAGAACTCCCCCCCCCCCCTCCAACAACTCTTCAATAGTCAACAGTTTAAAAACTCCTACTTCCATTCTGTTTCCTTTCTCCTTTTTCACTCTCTATTTTCAACTCTCTCCAATAAAAATTGGGGAGGGATATAGCTTGGATGAATTGGCTAAGTTTAGGGCCAATCTTAGGCCCAATTGAAACCCATGATTTGGGCTTGGGCCCATTCCAATTCAATATCAAGGCTCAACTTTGCAAATCCAAGCCAAAGCTAGGCTTGGACCAGCATAGTTCAAACTAGGTTTGGCCTGGAAGGTTTGCTTGGGCCTAAGTAGGTAGGTCATGTTTGAAAGTCTTCTTAAATCTTACTCGTGTTTCATATTTCAATCATTCATTTGAGCTTTTGGGAGCGGATTGGCTGCAAATAAATTCATGCACACCAGGCTGAACTACATATCATGAGTGAACATGCCAGTGTTTAGTACAGATGGGGCCTGTGTTCATTGGTGATAAATAGGCCAGCCCGGTGTGCATGAGTTTTCTCAAGCTCATTCGTTTCCAGCTTGGGAACCGGTGTTAATTAGGCGTTTGTTTGGCATCGATGCTGTTGCTCCAGAAAATGACAACACATCAGTGCCATGCCGGAAAAATGATGCTTCAAGAAACACCTGTTTGTTTGGAACTGTTTTTCTATAAAAAAACGGTGCTCCAAGCCATGCCTTGGAAATTGGGAAGGCATGGCTTGGAGCAATGCCGAGTTTGGCGTTTCCTGGAGCTGCAGCTCGTTGCTGCCAACAGGAACATGAGGTGGCAGTGACATGGACATGAGGTGGCACTGGATAATAGGTACCAGTGCTGAAAACGTTTCCTAGAGCATTGGTACCAAACAGAAAACGTTGTTGTTCTAGGAAATATTCTACCTGGAAGTAACGTTTCCAAACAAAAAAATACACCGTTTTATCAGAAAATGGTTCTTCCAACCCACACATCAGCAGCACCATGAGAAAATGGTGCTGTATCTGCAGCATCGATGCCAAATATATACTAGAAGTACTTTATCTCTAGACAAGTGAAGATGTCATAGAGAGTTTAAAGCCATGTTCGCCAGGTTCAATATCTAGAGATGATGGAAGCCCTACTCCCCATTTTGGTCCCCTCTGGACTAGGGGTGCAACTCGGTTGACCCAAGTTAACAGTTTACACTGTTTCGGGCTAGGGTTTCAGGTTGGACCATTGAAATTTTGACAAAATCCCAACCCTAACCCACTAAAATTGCACCCCTACTCTGGACATTGGCCAAGTTAAACATTGATGGAGGTTTCTTGAGTTCGACCATAGCAAGCTATGGGATCATAGCCAGAAACCACAATTGGACTGTTTTGCCAGCCAGTTTTGGTCCTTGCGGGACAGTCTTACAAGCTGAGGCTAATGGGCTCTAGCCATTTTGAAAGCTCTGGGCTTATCAAGGACTCTGAATTTAGTCAGGATCTTTGTGGAGATTTTGGATTAGCTGAGGTGCTTTCGGTCTCCTTCTGTTTTGTTAGCAGGAAGCTCAACAATCAACATGGCGGTGCATGCTCTGGCTAGGAAAGTTCTGGTGCAACGAGGCTCTTGTATTCGTCCCTGCCCTGACTGGTTAGAAGCATTGGCAAGAGAGGACCTAGTTAACTTATAGCTTAGGTTTTTTTTTTTATTTTTTTTTATGGTTATTGGCTTATTTTGCTTTCTTTTCCTGCTTATTTGCTTCTGTTTTATAGATGCAATGTGCCCCTGAACTTGTACCTATGAACGTTGGTTACATTAATGAACTTGGTTAGGGAAGGTTAGATTTTCATAGAAAACTGTTCATTATTCCACTTTTATTCCTGTTGAATGTTGATCCCAAACCGGAAGATTGTGGGTTTTTAAGCACTCACTTAAGTCTTCATAATTTTCTTTTATTGTTTTTTTTTTCTCAAAAGAAAATTCTTTTATTGCTACAAAAGGTAGACTTATCACAATCTATATCTATGTATATATAATAGAAAGAGCAAAGAGGAGAGGTGAGGGGGCCTCTCACCGCAAAGCTCACACAGACCTCCCCCTCCTCTCATTTTCTCACACCTGTGGTTACTTTTTTTTAAATTAAATTTACAAAAATATAAAAAATATCTCCAGTTAAATTCATCCACTACTCAAATAAAAACCCTCTTAGGTCTTAATTGTTTGTGAAATGTAATGAAACCTATTATTTCTCTTGCAAATAAGATCATTCTCTCTTTTCCCCCAATGATCAATGCTCATAACATCTTCCCTCATCCCATTAAATCTCAAATTTATGCTATATATTAAAACAAGTTTTTTCAAGTATAATTCTTTTTTTTCTGTTTTTTAGGGCAATTTCCTTACATTACCCTTACTGTTTAGTTAATTGACTAACTCCACCCTTACTATTTAACTATTGTCTTAAAGTACCTTTAAATTTTCTGAAAATTGTCTAAAACCTTCATTGCCATTAATTTTCCATCACACTTCGTTCACATGTGACATCATGTGAGTAGTAATTATTCTAAAATTCCTAAAATTCCTAAAATTCCCTTATTGTTCAATGACCTCCCAGAAATCGGTTCAATAGAAGCATTGTCACCTCCTTCAGAAGTCGGTTCAATGACCTCCCGGTGTGGTGATCGGGAACGAGCTCTCACTGTACATCATCCCCTTCCTCTAGAGCACTGTTCACCACTGTTCATTTCTTTTTCCGGTCGAACCAGCAGCGGCAGCAATACCAAAACTCTCCCCCTCTCGTTCTTCTTAGATTTTTCCGTGTTGGATTCTCCCCTGTTCCGGCTACTTAAACTACCCCACATTACATAATAAATCTCTTGAATAAGTTATTTCCCGAGTCCTGACCACAAAAACCTTTTTAAAAGAAGGTAAAAGGCTAAAGATCCAGATTTGAATATATAGCATAGGAAAAAGAAGAGAAAAAGTAGAGACTAGGAAATTTTTTTGTAAAATTCCAACCTCACAGTTAATCCAGAGTTACAAGCAACCTAAAAAAACAAGCGACAAGGAAAACATCATATTCCAGCCCTTTTCTACTTCTGCCTTGATGTATATTTACATCTCTCTCTCTCTAAAAATAGGACTCTAAGCTGGTGAATTGTTACTACTGTAGCGATGGTAAGACAGAAGACTACTTGGATAGTGCTCTAGATATGGCTCTAATGGTATTTGGTGTTGTCCTGCAGCAGCCTCCTATGAGGGAAGCCTCGGCCTCACACCATTTACTTACATGTGAAATAAAATCTTCATCTGACACTCCAGTAGATTCCTGCATGGAAAAAGAGCAACGGCAAGGCAAATAAGATGTGATTAATTACATCAACCAACATCTAAACCAGTTTGTCACAATATGATCAGGACTAGTAATTAACAACATGTTTATTTCATTTCACATTTTCAGAACCAGATGATAATGCACAGCTGATAAATGAAGGCAGCATAGGGTAGAAGGGGTTATATAGCATTAGAAGAGAGATTTTCGTCAAAGCACTTAATGAATGAAGCACCAAAATTTCCTCTCTTTCAAAATACACAAAGGATATTGATGGAGGGTGATTTGGCCCGACCTCACAATAGGGAGACACGTGGACATGACTCGACATAAGGGACAACTCGGCACGACAACCTGGCCACAACTTGGCGTAATGAGCTCGCTAGGACCCAGCCTGACAGCTCGGCACAGGTGGCAGCTCGTGGCAAAGTGGTACTCCGATTACCCCGAGCTCTCTCCCAAGGGGGGAGCGCCCCGAGGTCCCTCCAAGTGAGGAGTCCCGAGCTCCTCCCAAGTAAGGAGCCCCCGAGCTCCTCCTCAGTAAGGAGCCCCCGAGCTCCTCCTCAAGAAGGGAACACCCCGATCTAAGATCCCTGGGTAAGGAACATCCCGAACTGAAGGCACTTCAGGTAAGCTCGCCAGTAGGCTCCTGCCCAAACCTAAGTAGCCACCTCAAAGACTTGCCTCGAGTAGAAGCACCTTGGCATATTAGCAATAGCTCGGTACCAGGTAGCTTGGTGTATCGCATGACAACCGTACCCACCAGATCTGGAGACTGCTCCCACGTCTCTGGCCAAGCGGTGTCGTGCCTGCCAAGCCCTGACAAGTGTCCCCTGTCTGGCAGGGCCGTACCCTGCAACAGTTACCTGCACCCACCAGCTCAGCCCTAGCAAATAACGGCTGTAGCAGAGAATCAGAGGCGGTTATACTTGATTTGTCAAGACATTAGCATATAAGAGCCCCGACCCCTCATGGGCAAAGGTAATTGCGCATCTCCACTCTTAGCTTATTTCTCTGCAACTCTCTTTCCCAGCTCTCCACCGAGTTCTGACTTAAGCATCGGAGTGTTCCCACCGGGAGAGCTCCCCGGGAATTCTTCACCTTCTTCCTCGTAGGTGCTTCATTTGCCGCTAGCTAGGAGCGTATCCACTTTCAACTAGGAGTGACCAGGTCACGCATCATCAATTGGCTCAGACATAGCGGCTACACGACCCCCGAGGTGAAATCAGTTTAGCGCACTTTTTGACGTCCGCGGAGTCTATAAGTCGCGTGACGTCCGAGCGTGAATTGTATGCGACTCGGGTTACCCTTGATTGAGTCGAGCTGCGAACTGGTCCGACCAACGAGCTGCTTGACTGGACGGCCTGAACTTCGAGCCAAATCCACCCGTCACGCCGTGAACTCCCCGCACTGGGTCAAGACCCCTAGCACGGGGAGTGGGGGGCAATTGATGGAGGGTGATTTGGCCCGACCTCACAATAGGGGGACACATGGACATGACTCGACATAAGGGACAATTCGGCACGACAACCTGGCCACAACTCGGCTTAATGAGCTCACTGGGACCCAGCCTGACAGCTCGGCACAGGTGGCAACTCGTGGCAAAGTGGTACTCCGATTACCCCGAGCTCTCTCCCAAGGGGGGAGCGCCCCGAGGTCCCTCCAAGTGAGAAGTCCCGAGCTCCTCCCAAGTAAGGAGTCCCCGAGCTCCTCCTCAGTAAGGAGCCCTCGAGCTCCTCCTCAGTAAGGAGCCCCCGAACTCCTCCTCAAGAAGGGAACACCCCGATCTAAGATCCCTGGGTAAGGAACATCCCGAACTAAAGGCACTTCAGGTAAGCTCGCCAGTAGGCTCCTGCCCAAACCTAAGTAGCCGCCTCAAAGACTTGCCTCGGGTAGAAGCACCTCGGCATATTAGCAGTAGCTCGGTACCAGGTAGCTCGGTGTATCGCCTGACAACCGTACCCACCAGATCTGGAGACTGCTCCCACGTCTCTGGCCAGGCGGCGTCGTGCCTGCCAAGCCCTGACAAGTGTCCCCTGTCTGGCAGGGCCGTACCCTGCAACGGTTACCTGCGCCCACCAGCTCAGCCCTGGAAAATAATGGCTGCAGCAGAGAATTAGAGGCGGTTATACTTGATTTGTCAGGACATCAGCATATAAGAACCCCGACCCCTCATGGGCAAAGGTAATTGTGCATCTCCACTCTTAGCTTATTTCTCTACAACTCTCTTTCCCAGCTCTCCACCGAGTTCTGACTTAAGCATCAGAGTGTTCCCGTCGAGAGAGCTCACCAGGAATTCTTCACCTTCTTCCTCGCAGGTGCTTCGTCCGCTGCTAGCTACGAGCGTAGCCACTTCCAGCTAGGAGTGACCAGGTCACACATCATCAGATATGACCAAGTATGCATAGCAGGATCCCAACTTGAAAAGCTTATTGCCCAAAACTGTTGATAATGATTGTAGACTAGATTGTCTGGATTTTGAGCTCAACCTCACACCAATAGGAGGGTAGGTACCCAGGTTGGACACTTGGCAAGAAGGTTCAATTTCTTGTCTACACAGAGAAATGGTTTTTCTTTTTAGTGAGTGAATTTTACAGGTCAAAACCTAGGTGGCCCTTGTGTAAAATTGCAAAAAGAAGTAGATGACTAGTACTATCCATCAAATGGACAAAATGCATTAAAAGATACAAAACCTGCAACTTAATTGTCCAATTATATGGCAGTTTTACATAATAAGAAAAAACAAATTGTGAGCTTGGGGAATGGCCTGGGAGCACAATTCATGTCCTATTCAAAGAACATCAATGGTCCCCCCAAGCCAATATCCTTAGTGTTGCAAATCAAAAATATTGTAACTTGTAACAATTTAATAGAAAGGGTTAAGAGGGAACTTACTATCCACTCCTTGCGATCAGGGTCATAAGTCTCACCACTGTTTGGATAAATAAGTATCGGTTTAGATGTCACTTGTGGGGTTAGCCAGTCAAACAATGAGAGTTTATTCTTTCTGTTAAAGGAAAATGTTTTATTAAAAAAGAAAAAGGTGATAAGGTGTCACCCCCAACACAACACACAGAAACAAACAAGTATTTATTATTTCTGTTAAAGGAAAATGTTTTATTAAAAGAGAAAAAGGTAATACAAAGAAGAGGTGATAAGGTGTCACCCCCAACACAACACACAGAGACAAACAAGTATTCAGCATAGTGCTATCTGGTGAACAATAACAGAGCTTTGGCTTTTTTGCGAAAAATACATGCATTGTTCAATGAATTCACACATTGATTGCAAAGTCATCTAAGATGAAAAGGAAAATAGCCACATCTAGGCCAACACTTTTTGTGGCTGCTGGCTCTAAACCGCTGGCCTAGCCCTTTTTCTTGTAGTGTTTATGCTGAGAACTAAGCTACAAGATTTCTCATATTTTCTTAAAAATTTCCTGATATTTTCAATTATGAAGAACAAAATTTCCTTGAAACTGAAATTGCAAAATTCAAACCTTAATTAGATGAAAATAAATTTTAGGTTTTTAGCCAGTCTGTGTGCTCAATTGGTTCCACAAGCCAAGAAAGAGAAGGGATTAATAAACATATGGCTACATTAAGGGTCACTGAAACAGGTACCGGTGGAAAGGGAAAACTGGATAATTCATAGGGTTGTCATCATGGTTGTAAGCTATGGGCATTGGCATTGCATTGATGCTTTTTAATGCATGATTAGGGTTATGTGAAGGTTGTCATCTATGTTTTAGAGACCAGACAGTTTTTGGATAACTGCTACTCTCGTTGCCCATGTTATTGCTCAAAGGGCTTTTTTTTTTTTTGTAGCTGATAAATGCTGGTGGTATTCACCATCATCTTGGTTGGAACATCTAATTTGTACTATTTTTATTTGATTAGTGTTTCTCTGGTTTATCTTTCAAAAAAAAGGCAGCTTGTGGATTCTTTTTCCCTTTTTTCTAGATGGGATAACACTTCAGGACCTGATGCTTTTTGTCTTTGGTTTTATACTTCTGGGAAGAGATTTGGCTCAATTGAAGGATTTTGAATTTTATTGTGGGAAAGGATTTGTACTTAATGGTGCATGGGGAATTTTTGGTTGTGGTCAGTCATATTTCTCTCTTCCTAGACATTGTATGGCCTTTTACTTATATAATCTGTATACTTTTCATTTTTTCTTGTTTTAAACTTTTAATATAGTATCCTTCATTGATCAAAATATGTGGAACCAAAACCTGGTTTAAACAAGTCTATATGAACCCAGCCAATTACTGTGGTTCTAATTCTAATCTACCTAATACATTATTATTTATTAATCATACAGATGCCACATGGTATTTAGAAGATTCAATCAATCATGACTTGAGTGGACTCCAAGGACTTTTTATCTTTAAAGATCAAAGAGTTACTGCACGTTGTTCTCTATATGTACCCACTCAATATTCTATTGTATGAGCAATGAAATAAAAAATAAAATGCTTCAGTGTTACTGTTTGATATTTTTAATGCCAAGCCCATGAAGGTGCAGATATTTTTAATGCTTCAGTGTAACTAACTGCATTAGCCAAAACAGAACACTGTGCATGTGGGTGTGCTCATGCAGCCCAATACTCTAACAAAAGCATTCATCTTTTGCTACATAAGAATGCCCTCTTCATAGCTGGTTTGGTAAGACATCTGCCAATACTGTACTCATTGCCCTTCAGATCCATCTAATTAACCACTACTGAAAATGATGCCAAAATTCCTTAATTTCATTGAGATAATGAAGTATTTATCTTGGTCTAGAACAATATTGTACTAATTTGCAGTTAATTTCAAATCTATAGTAATCCTCTAGTTCCTTGTTTCGCTAATCTATCATTCATAGCAGTATTAATGATAGACCCACCAGAATTCTGACCTTCCCCTCTATCCTTTACACCTATTTTTCATGCAAGCACTATTTTTTATTGATATTTTTCATGCATGAACAATTATTTGTTCAAAAAAGAAAATCCATGTAACAGCCTTCATTTCTTCTTTACTTACACCTTCTAAGGAATCCAATTTATCCTACTAAATTTCAGATCATTTTCTCTTTAAATCCTCAAGGCTTATTAGCAAACATATTTATATTTGTTCAGACCCATGGCAATCTTTTCTTGAACCATTTTCCCAGATATACTTTCCTTGATTTTTGTCAACATTTAAAATTCACATTCTAGCCTCTTTTCTCTTCTTTTTCTTTAAGCAGCACTGTCCAGCCTGTGTTATTTGCTGATTTTATGACATTCACAATCAGATCACTTAAGACTTATTTGTCCATTACTAAAGACATTCATATAAAAATAACTAAGCTTATTAACACTTGTAACCAAGGCTTTACAAGACAAGTAAATTATGGAAGAATGGACATTTGGAGCTCAAACCCAACACTTATTAGTAAACAAGAAACAAATTACAGAAGACCTGGTGCTCGATAAAAGTCTAGCATGGACTGGTCTAAGTGAAGGGAGTCTTGTTGGCTTGCATTGAAGCACATGGTTTCATTGTACTGAATTCGGCTCTGGGTCTTCTGCTTTAGATCTTGGACTTGTTGTGCACCATAGAAGGCAATTTGGCCCTGTGTCTCCGCAAGCTCACGTTGAGTGATGATTATTTGTTGATGTAATTGAGATATAATTGCAACACAGCCATAAACTGGGTCTCGGACCCTTGTGCCTGCCTCAAAGGACATACAATCAGCTGCCACAGCACGTTGATGGACTGGTAGTTGCTGCTCCAACCAAAGAAGAAACAAATGCCATCTATCAAAATTGATGAAATAAGCATTTCTAGAAAAGTTCAAAATGGGTTTGTAACTCTATCGAAACATTAGGTCACTATGATGAAGAGAGCATCAACTCTGAAAATGTAAACTAGTTCTTTTAAGGAGCCAACTACAGATAAAAAAACTTGGCAGTAGTTGCTTATTTCACCTCCAATAAGTATTGGTATTGTGACTAACTAGTTAACTACAATGATAGGGACGCGTTATTTCAAAATCAAATATATAGATCAAAAAAAGTATTTATAAAACCATCAAATACGAAAATATTTTCCTCTTAATCTTATATTTCCCACTAAATATAAAAAAAAAGAAATAAAAAAATCATTAACTCATTAATGGTTAAATATCTGCTTACCTGTAGCATCTTAGTAATGTTACTGGCTCCAAAGATTTTGTGAACACAAGCAAATCTTTCTGGATTGGTTGAAGGGAAATAAGGGGCGAGAATGCAATCATGTAAGCACCTCCTACGAAGATATTTGCAAGCTGCACAACGAGTAGATTTGGCCATTATAGATTCGGTAGAATCTTCAGTATTTTCTTACTCTTTTTTATTTTTTTAAATTAAGATTTGGGATTTTGAAATTGGAAAGCCTATAACGGCTACATTTTAAAACGTTTACTAGAAAGAAAAAAAAAAAAAAGTAAGTCTCGACTTACCTGTTAGAGAGGGAAAACACATTGAGAGAGAGGGGGGGGGGGGAATTCCAGATACATTGGCGGTGAACCAAGCGGCAGGGCGACTGAGGGAGCGTACTGGATCATCACTTGGTTAAGTGGTTTTTGAAGGGAGGAAACAGAGAACCGAAAAAATCGAGGGATGTCAACCCGTAGGAAAGCAAGTCTCGACTTACCTGTTAGAGACGGAAAACACATTGAGAGAGAGAGGGAAGAGTTCCAGATACATTGGCGGTGACCAAGCGGCAGGACGACTGGGCGAGCGTATTGGATCATCACTTGGTTAAGTGGTTTTTGGAGGGAGGAAACAGAGGACCGAAAAAATCAGGGATGTCAATCGGTCGGGTCTGAGCCGGCCAGCCGGGTACCAATTTCGAACAGATTATTAATCGAACCAAAAATTCAAAATCATAAACCCATAACCGTGCCGTGGTTAATACTGGGGTCCATTTAGACCCCATAGACCCAATTATGCTGAAAACAATATTTAGTTATTTATAAGAACTTAAATTTTAAATTTTGATAAAATAACATTAATAAAAATTATAAGAATATTAAATTATTAATATGTTAATACATTAAACATTTTTAACTAATATTATCTAGGGGTGAGCAAAAACATCGAAAAACCAAAACCGAACCAATTGGTTCGGTGTTTTTAAAAAACTGAAGGTACTGGTTTGGTTTCGGTTAACCAATATAAAAAACCAGCATTTAACCAAACCAACCGATATACATATATTTTTATATTATATATATATTATAAATTAATAAATATGTTTTATATATATTTATAATTTTTTATTATATATTTTTATATATATATTGTAAAAACTAAAAAACTGAAAAACCGACAAACTGAATCGATGGTTAACCGAACCGGTTAACCAATTGGCTTCAATTCAGTTTCGGCTATCAGTTTGGTTAAAGAAAAAGGTCCACGGTTCGATTAACCGAACGATGAGCACCCCTAATATTATCTTATTTATTATCTATCAAATTTACCATTTTAAACTTAAAATATAATAAAAAGTATAAATAAAATAAAATATCATATATATTTGATAAAATAATTGATTCCAAGTATGAATTGGTTCGAGATAAACAAAAACTAGAACAGACCCAATTGTTAATCGGGACAACACTTGAGCAAGCCCAACCCATTGACAGTCCTAGAAAAAAGTTAACTTGATGGTGAGTGTCATTTTGACTCCAACTAAGATATGCCATGGATATTTTTTGGTTAAAAATATGCCACGTAGAGAGCAAGGTAAACAGAGGACCTAAACCTTACTGACGTCTTCACTCTTGATTGGTCCCATAAGCTTTTTATCATGTTAGATGTTGGTTGTTGGATTGGAAGATTTTATACATGACCTAAAACCAAGGTTCAAAATTTTGTTATGATACATATCATTGTATCTTTGAGGTTCCAGCACTGGGAACAGTACCAAATCCTTAGTACCATTCATTTTCATCGTGCCGAAAAGCGTATCATGCCCGTATTGGTAGCATATTGATTAATACAATGTGATATAATTTACTGTTGCGGAAAAAGTAATCTTCATTCGAAAAAGGGTTTCTAAACCCATTTCAAAAGTCCTCTTTCTTCCCCAAACCCTCTAAAAATCTTCATACCATTCCTAGATATTGAAATCAAGCTAAATTCCACCAAAACATCTACAAATTTGCAAGATCCAACAATTTTTTCAAGACTGTTAAAAAATGAGCGAAAATATGTATTTTTTCAGTTTTTTTTTTACAATCTCAGCTAATGTTTTTGTGTTTTTTTAGTTTGGATGCTTAAAAACATCTTTGTGTATGTTGATATGTTATTCTTGTGCAAAAGATCCCACTTATTTTGCTCCTACATTTAGATCTTTGTGAATATTTGAAGAAATTCCAAAATAGTAAAAAATCTGAAAGAAATGAATATTTTAGGTTTTTTCTTGTGATCTACCTCTAAAAATTGATTATGTTGTAGACCTATGGATGATCTACCATGTCCATAGATCAATTGAAATTTTTTCTAAATAATTGATTTTTTTTTTAATTTTTGAAATAATATATAAATAATTTCTTCGATTTTACATGATCTAACCCTATAGGTTGAGTATGTTGTAGAGGTAAGACTGACATCAATATACTGAAATATCATGTGAAAACTTTAATTTGTTTCTTTTTTAATTTTTTAATTTTTAGATTATAAATACTTACTTATTTCTCTATTTTTTTTTGCTATGATTTAAATTCTAATAATAAATATTTATAGTAAATATATGGATGATGTATCATGTCCATAAACCCATTCAATTTTTTTTGCTATACATTTACATTTTAAATTTTAGTTTAATTTTTAGAATAAAACATGCAAAATAATTATTTGAATAAAATAAATAATTATTTAGTTTTTAGAATGAAACATGCAAAATAAGTATTTCATCTATTATGTCCATAAATCCATTCAATTTTTTTGTTACATATTTACTTTTTTTAATTTTAATTTAATTTTTAGGATAAAAGTGCAAAATAATTATTTAGTTTTTATAATGAAACATGAAAAATAATTATTAATTTTAGAATAAAAATAATAGATGTCCATGAAGTCATTCAAAAAAAATATTTGTTTAATTTTTAAAATAAAACATGCAAAATAATTATTTGAATAAAAATAAATAATAATTTAAAAATACAGAAAAAAATTTTATTCAATAATTACAAATTTTACATAATTATTTGATTCAATAATTGTTTAATTGGATTAGATAACACTTGGCAAAACGTTTAAAACAATTAAAAAGAATTTTTAGTAATATTTAAAGATATACAAAATAAAAGTTATTGATATATTTCATGTGATAATCTATAATTTGAATGTGAATATAATTGTGGCCTCAAAAATATGAAAACAATTATTATTTGTTTAATTGAATATTTGTATTAGATGATCATTGAAAAAATAATTATTTTTTTATTTCATAATAACAATTGAAATTTAGTTTACTAACATATTAACACTTAAAATTGAGTAATTTATATAATAATTGTATTTTTATGTGATTCATGTAAAGTTGTAAATATCATATTGGGATTCAAATGTTGAACTTGTAAATTATAATAGATTTAAAATTTGAAGTTGGAACATGAAGATTGGAATTGAATTAAGTACTTTATTAGATAGTATGTTTTTGTTCCCGTTTGTTGATTATAATATGTTTTTTCACAAAACCCATTAAAACATGTGATGCTTATGTATAAATAGTTCATTTAAGCATTATATTTATTGATAGTGATGTTTATTTATGATTTATTAAAGTATTTATATCATTTTCATGTGTTTTCATGCGTATCTTAATTTTTCATCCATATCCAAAGCATATCCCGATACATCTTTTAAATTTACCTTTCCGATACGCATAGCATTTCTGGTACTTTAAACCTTGCCTGAAACTAAAAGTCTCATGTTTACATGTATAAAGTCGTCTATTTCTTCTTGGAATATATGAAGTCATTTGTTTTCTTCTTTGGTCATTACTTTCTTGTATTCCCATTTGCACTTGACAAATTTTTAGGCTCAGTTTGGAAGGAGTATAAATTACAAATATGTAGAGTGCAAAATCTTATATTTTGTATGTATTTGTATCGTACATATTTGCATTTGTACTCTTTCCAAACTGAATAGCTACAAAAGTATTTATAAATATGTAAAGTGCAAAATCTTATATTTTGTATGTATTTGTATCGTACATATTTTCATTTGTACTCTTTCCAAACTAAATAACTGTAAAAATGTTTACAAATATGTAGAATACAAAATCTTATATTATATTTGCATTTGTATTGTTTTCAAATTGAATAACTACAAAAGTGTTTACAAATATGTAGAATGCAAAATCTAAAATATATGTATTTATACCGTACATATTTGCACTTGTACTCTTTCCAAACTGAATAGCTACAAAAGTGTTGAAATGCCCATTTGGAACGGTTGAGTTTATAGCTTTGTAAGGTGGACCCCTTTGGGAGGTCTGCAGGGACTTATAACTTTGTAAAGTGGACCCCACATGAAAAGGTTAAAAGGTTTATTTAGTGAAGAACCCCGAAAGCCCAAGTACACATTAATTCAGCTAAGAAATTGACGTTTTAGTAAAGCTAGTTTCAGTAGCGTCTTCCATGTGGCACACTCAACACAGCTCAATCAAAATTGAAGCCCTCTCAATCAGGCACTAGTGCCCATTTGGGAGGGCTGAAGTGAAGTGTCTTCTAGCTTTCCAAGCTAGGCCCTACATGGACAATCTATAAGCTTATGTTTGATGAAATTTCAAAAAGCCCAAATCAATTGTTCACTCGTTGTCTGCTTCACCTCTCTGAATAGCTTCATCAAAGCACCTCAAAGTAGGGGTGCAGTAGAACTGAGCCAAGCTGAACTGCTTGTCATGTCTCAGTTTGGTTAAAATACTATTAGGTTCGACTTCAAGTTTGAGCTCAATCTTCGAAATCTATTTCCTGGTTTGAGCTCTATTGGATTAAATATTCAATGAGCTCTAGTTCAACTTGAAAGTTCACAAATACATATATTTTTATATTTTATAAATATAAATAATATATTTTAATAATATATAACACATTCTTATATTTTTATATTATATGTAGAATGTAAAAATATATTTTTATATAATATATGTATGTATATACATACATACGTGTGTATGTATGTATTAATCGATCTAGGCTCACAAGCTTTTAAGTTGAACTTCTTATTGGCCAAGTTCAAGTTCGAATAACTAATTAAAACTTAACTCGAGACTCGAACATGATTATATTCCAACTTTATTCAAGTCTAATCGAACTCTAGCCCAAACTAACCGGTTAGAGCTTAGTTAGATTGTAATTCTACCTCAAAGCAACAAACTAATTTAGATGAATTTTCAACTCAAACCCTCCCAAATGGAGCCTAAAGAGGCTGAAGCAAACAACCCTAAAAATGACTACATGTCAATTTGGGAGGGCTGAGGAAAAATAGCTTCTGGATGTTTGTGTCCACTTTAGCCTCTTTGAATAGTTTACTTGGAGCCCTTCAAAGCAACTAATTAAGCCAGCTTAGAGCCTGTTTCGGAGGGCTACTATGCTGATTGAATTGTGTTGACTAAGCAGCTTTAGAGAAGCTATCCAAACTAGCTTCACTTAAAAGTGGATTTCTTACCTCAATGATAAAGTTCTTTTGACTTTTTGGCTGTGTTTAGTTGCAATACAATTTTATTTGTACTAATACAAATGTATGGGAATGCAAATTCTGGTTTAATTTTGTTTTAGATTTTACTTTATTTTGCTTTAGGTCTTATTT